AGATTATTAATATTTTGTTCTTGCTTTCCCTCATTTCCTTTCAAAGTAGATAGAAGAGCGATTGACGTACACATTCGCCAGAACTTTAAGAGATTAAGTCAAGCGTTATCTTAATTTTGAATCTCATTACCTTACGTTAGTGATTTTTCATTCATTCTTAGAGGTACGCGATGAGTGTATTTTATATGTTTATCTAGGTTCCCAAATTAACTTAAAATCAAATTATTTGAGTGAATTTCTAATCACTTTATATTATATTCGATATTTGTAGGGTAAATTTCCAATATAAAGATTAATAAGGAGAAAGGAAGTGATTTGGAGCATTGTAAAAGGATAGTGTTAGATTGATATAAGAAGTTCATGGACAAAAATTTACTAAACTGGAGGTTGAAGGGCTAAAATGGAAGAAATTGAAAGTTCGAAGGGGCATGCCGGCAATTTGCAAGTGCTCTCAGTAATTGTGCAGAGGCCCCTAGACCCTCCACACCAACTTTTTCTTTTTCTTTTTCTTTTTTTTTTTTTTTTTTTTTTTTTTTTTTTTTTTTTTTTTTTTTTGGTGGGGATTAACATTTCAGGCAGAATCAGAATTTTATATGAACAAATAAATAATAATAATAATAATAATAATAATAATAATAATAATAATAATAATAATAATAATAATAATAACAAAATAATAATAATAATAATAATTCATCTTTCTTGGAATATATCAAGGAGAAGGCTCAAGCAATTATTGAAGATCCAAGCTTGAAGATTTTAGGTTTCTTGAGGATTTATTTCATTTCGTTGTTCTTGAAATAAACAGGTGACATATTTGTCAAATTTTTCTTGATTCCATTTGTTCACTCTTTTTTGATTATTTTATTTGTTACAATAAAACGTATTTAATTGATTTCTATTCATATTTTAATTTATTATTATGGACTTTTTTTTATGAATTATGTTGAATTGACGTGAGTGTTTTATTTTATATTTGAGAATGAGAGTTAAATCACATAATATTGCCGATATGTTTGATCAAGAAATTGTTCGTTACAACCCTCAATCTAACTTTCTTGAATTCGTTGTTAAATCATGGGATTTCTAATTGTTCATGTGGTTGTCCTGAGATCTTATTCATCACATTTATAAAACTGTTAATAAGAGAGAAAAGTTTGATATTTAGGAATATGTTAACTAGTACTCGATAACCAAACATTAATATTTTATCTTTATTATTATTTTACCAACAAAACAAAAGTAGAACCAAAATACGAATTGAACATTAGTAGTGTTGTTTAGCATCTGTTTGATCCTCGTTTTAATGAAATTTGTCTTTTTTTTTCTTTTTTTTTTTAATTATTAGTGTTGACTTCGCAAGGGGTGATTGCAACAATAATTTCCAACTTTCCAAATTATCCTTCAATTCAATGTGCTGTCATTTACCCCATGTTAATAATTGGGAGGGTCATTTTGGTAAGTGGAAGATGAGGAATTGGGATATTTTGGACCATATCCCTTTCAACGGCTTTTTCCCATTCTAAATGCCCTAACATGTGAATGTGGAAATATCATTTTTAAAGTTAAGAATCTATCGTTGTAAAATGCAACATCTCATTAAAATTTGATTAATGAGTTCCACATTCAAGGACTTAGTGAAATCAGAATTCTTAACTATTTTCATAATTTATTACTACCTCATTACTCATTTGTTCCGTTATTATCAAGTAGCTTATTTTAGTTAATAATTGAAAAAATAATCTCAAAATTAAATTTTTAAACGAGTCTGTTCTATTAAGGTTAGTTTTAGTTATTAAAGTGTGATCAATAAATAATCGATCTTTGTAGGATGATTGTCGACATAATCCTTTATAACTAATATATGATACTGTCTACTTGTTCAGATAATTTCGTTAACAATTGTAAATGTATATTGATATCTTGACCTAATTTTATTTTAAGAGTGTCAACTAGATTATCCTTTTAATTTATCCTAGCAACATTGT